AGAGTAGGAGACTCCACAACCTCCCTGGACAGCCTGGGCCAGGGCTCTGGCATCCTCACAGTAAAGAAGTTCCTCCTCACCTGGAGATGGAACTTCCTGTGTTTCAACTTATGCCCATTTCCCCTTGTCCTCTCACTGGCCACAGAAGCCCAAGAACAGAAGAACAGATGAACAGACAGAAGCCCAACAACAAATGTTAGAAGAAAACATGTGTTGGGAAGACCTTCTTGTTCAGAGAGCAGGACAAGTGGGGCTCCACAGTTATTTCTGCAGCTGTCTCTGGTTCATGAACTACACTTCTTACTCAGCCTGTCACTTCGGCGTGGTGCGGTGGAGGCCCGTCTAGACTGGCGGCTGCAGCCGGGGAGGGCAGCACGCAACTTGCTCATCACAAGAGCCAGGCGCGCTCATGCGTGCGTCCTGGGACAGGCGCGCAGCCACGTGCCTCGGAAAGGGGAACCCAGAAGAGTGAGCCCCCAGGGTGTGCACATGGGCTCAGGAGCAGCTCGGGCACACGACTGCGTCTCCCCAGATATGTCCCCTTGGCAAATCCTTGCCAGAGCCCCAGAGCTTTCCACCGCAGCAGCTCTCCTCCAGCTCTAATGTATCAGCACAGATGTACCCATCTTCCCCTGGAAGGATCCCCCATTAAGCAGCCCCAGGACCCTGCAAGGGAGTACTTGAGAAAAGGCCTCAGCTACCTGGAGATAAAAGCAGTCATTAAAAAGGCATAAACAAAGGGCACTGCAATTGTTTTGCCACATCTCCAGACTTGAGAGGAGGCTGAAATAACCTTTATATAATCCCATTAGCATTTCCAGGGAAAACAACGGCATTTTAGGAGGCAGAAAAATGTATTTTCTTATCATCCAGAAAGGCCAAAGGTATTTATCTGATTTAATATTTTATAATTGATATTAAGCAACACAGAAGAATGAGGCAGGCAGTCTGGAAATGGTTGCAGCCCTGCAGTGACATGGCAGGAACTGCCCTCTGCTCTCCCAATAACGTATCATACGAGGTCTTGGTCAGGAGCCAGCTCTGGGCACACCGGCCCTTCTCTGAGGTCTGCACATTGAAAAGGGCCTTCTCTCCATCCTCACTGTGGTAGGACCCTGGATGCCAAGGCAGGTGCCTCTGTGCTCACAAGCACTTCACAGCTGTTTCAGCATCACATCTCTGCAGGAGGAGACACTTGAGCTGTCAGGGTCCAAGTGACTGAAACTGGACCTGTGGATCTACCTGTGATCTTCTGTCCCTTCTTGTTAGGCAGGGTGCCAGCACAGCCTGGGCTGAACTGCGTGATGTCCATGTTCTTGCGTGGTGGGAAGGGCAAGCTGAAAATGACAACTGAGGAGAAGAGACAGCTGAGGATGTGGGAGGATGCATGAGAACAGGGGAAGGGCACAGGGCTTGGGCGCTCAGAACCGCGATGCACAGCAGGAATAGAGGCAGCCAACAGATGTGGACGTTCATCAGGATCTTCACGATGATGGCTTTGTGCCGAGGGTAGCAGCAGGTCAGGAGCAGCACTCCTTCTACAGGTCCATGAACTGGCCCATCGGGTGGGCCCTGCACTTGGGTAGTCTGAGATGTTGGCTAGCTATCTAGCTGTGGTGTCACTCATTGAGACCACCTGCACTCAGCACCATCCTGGATGCAGAGGGGCTGCAGTGGGTGCAGTGAAGCCCCACTAGTGCACAACCACCATGACTACACAACACTCGGCTAAGTCACCTCCTATCTTTCATCTCCAGTAGGGAATGGCAATGAGGAGGTTATTCTTTGTGAAACATTCTGGAAAGTCATCGCTGAAATCTCTCACTTGCCTCTTCCATCTGTTTATTTTTACCACTTAATAACATGTCTGTCTTGTCAACTGTTCTTGACATCATGGCAAGAAAATCCAACTCAGCAGACAGCTTTATCAAAGAGACATTAGCTCTTCGTTACTGTGTGACACCGCATCAGTGCTCCTTGTGTTTATGAAGCCTAGTCTGTGATTTCAAAGCGTGTCTTCATCTTTTATGAATAGGTGATATGACCAGGATATTTGAAATTGTTGATTATTATGCAAAAGGTTATCCGAACTGTGAAGATAAGACACAACTTCAAGCCCTTCAAGGAGTCTCATTTGCTCGCCGATGTGCTTTTCTCCTTGCTGCCACATGATGTCACGGACCTAATTTCAAGTGATTAGTAACAATGGCAAAACAGCTATCGAAATAACCTCTGATAGAGGAGCAGAAACTTGGGGCCATTTGAATTTGATTTCTCATCAGGAATGCAGTAATAGTTGGCCTGCTTCACCACGACACAAAACCTGCATCTGTCTCTGCTTTCAGAAGAGGCAGCAAGGCAGCTGTGGAGGGGTAGCTGGCCTCAATGTCAATCCACAGTGTTCAGCCACTTTTTAATTTGGGCAATCTTGTGTTTATTGCCTTCAGAGTGGACGGCTTCATTCACCCTTTTTATTTACAGCTGTTCTCCCAGTTTCATCACTGAATAATCCGCTTGTTGGGAAAGCCTGGAAGAACTGAATCTGAATTGTCTTACGTTTTTAGAAGGCTTCTTTCATCACCGTTCCCTCATTTTCTAGATCTGCCTTAAGTTTTTGTTTTTAAAAGTTTCAGAGCCAATGGAGCTGTTTGCTTTTTGCATGGAAAACAGGAATATTTCACCAAAAACGCAATCTTGCATCCTTCAATCTGCTTGCTGTTCAGAATCATTCAAGATAGGTAGTCTTTGGGGCATATAATTTGGTTGCAGAATGACAAGTGTGTGATCTGGAAGGGACCTACTCCAGCCTCCTGCTTAAAGCAGGATAATTGTCAACTCCAGGAGACAGGAGAGCACATCCAGGGCTGTCAGCATGTGCAAAGCACGATGGATGAAGACATCTGTGCCACCCAGCCTTGGATAACATGGTCTGGATTTAATAATCCAAGAGCTCCTTGCCAATCCTAGTCTGGTACCTTCGATTATCACCTTGTGTGTGGTCCTGTGAGGCCTATAGGAAGGAGACTGCCACTTCCTTGTATTCCAGTATGTTCAGAAATGATCCTCACCTAATGACTGCATTTTAGGAAAAGGTAACTTCTTTGATTAGATAAGGTCAAGAGATCATCTTGCTCCATCCATGTCTCTAGGAGAGAACCTGCCCACTGGGAAGTTCCTTCTGCCACTAGGAAGGAATGGCCAACCAACCTCTCCTGGCTATATGTTAAGCTGCTTCCAAAAAACGAGGGAAGAAGGACCAAAAAGCCATTCCTGAGTCCTAGAGTTCCTGAGTTCCTGAGATATGCTGAGCAAGCATATCTAGAAGACAACACAACTACCTCTGCCTTGTAACGTGACGTAGGCAACACAGGCTCTGTGTTAAGGATGGCATTTCTGTCCATCTGTTGCACACGTTAGATTGATAAGGAAGAAAACATGTTTGTGGACTTAAGGAGAGTGGAAATGCTCATAAACACCCATCAGTGGGTCCTGATCCTCCTGTAGCCGGAGCTCTGACAGAGCTCTTGCACAGTGCCAGCAGGAATAGCTCCGTGTCCGGAGAGGGGCCATGTGATCCTATGTTCAGCTCTGCTTTCACGCCAGCACACGGCAGCAATGCCCCAATGGTATTTATCTAGCTGATGTCTGAACTGCCCAAAGGTGCCAGAAAGATCCTCTGAACACGTGGACACCTGTAAAGCAGCTACTGAGAAAGGCGCGGAATTACTGCACATCCCACATTGGTCTGGATGAAGAGCGAGGGTGATCAACCTGAAACTCCACATCTCAGCAACAGCTCCAGGTGGCCAACACATGGCAGCAAAAGCCACTGCCAGCAGGCTAGAGCAGCTGGGGTCATCTGCCACCATAGCTGTGTCCCAGCCTGGCCCTTTACTTCAGTAAATGTACAAAAAGACATGGAAGTCACCTTGAAAGGGCTGGGGATGAAGACAAAACTGGAAAAGGCACAGATGGGTGGGACAGGTGCTGCTAGGTGCGAAAGGGCAGCAGATAAGGAGAGTGGACGTCTGCCATGAGCTGTGGGCTCAGCGGCATGGCAAGCTAGAGATACAGCAAGAGGTGACGGCCCGAGCGGGTGGAAAGCAGTGTTGTCCAGGCACCCGACCTCTCTGCTCCATGTTATGGAGAGAGACAGTCGGGTCAGGGAGGAGAGGGTTGAGGTGTTGGCTGCAGCGGCTGCTGCGGGAGCTCTGTCACTGCAGTGGAGGTGGGGAGGAGAGGACAGCGGGCTGCGTTCCCCCGGTCCTCAGGCTCTGTGCTACAATTAGGATGGGCAGAGGACAGTCCCGGGAGCACCCACGTTCACTACCATTTGTAAGGGGCCAAGGAGTGGTGGCAATGACATGAGAAAGCAAGGGGTGAGTGGAAGGAGACTGTCAAGACTACTTGGCCAAGCTGAAGTCCAGCCTTACAATGCGACTTGTTGCCCTGTTTCTTCCTCGCATGATGCTGACCTCCACCATCCCGTGGTCACTGCATCCAAGGCTGCCCCCAACCTTCACATCTCCAACCAGCCCTTCTTTGGTCGTTAGCAAACCATCACAGTACAAAAACACCAATAGTGTTTTCAAAGACAGAGAAAGAGGAAGAGAAAAAGAGAAAGAAAAAAAACGCCAGAGCCAGAGATGTATTTTTCCCCAACAGCTATAGGGAGGTGCATGTAATCCTTCAAATCCTTTCCAGTCCTGTTCTCGGAGGCAGTGAGCAAGGAGCCCCTCAGCACCTCCCAGCGGCATGCACAGCAATTCCCACCGATCTACCCTTAAGTTTCTACCAGTGCTGATTTGATCTTTAGTTCTCAATTAGATTGTTTTCCCCTGTTTTACTTTCTCCACCAGTCAGTCTTATTAAAAGTCAGTCTTGACTTTTTCCTAGGTGATTTTCTAGCCTTCTGTCACATGGGGCTTCTCTTCCCGTCAACAGAGCAAGGAAAGCAAAAGCCTCTTCTGTTCACTTTGGACAGGCTTCAAGCACTTGTAGGATGGTTTATCTGGAAGTGACATTTCATATTTTTCCATGGTGTAATAGACAGTCCCCACTGTAGACTGAGATACAAACATCTTTGCTGCTGACAGAGAACTGTAACGCACAAAATGTTCTACCCAGCCCTCATTTAGGCCAAGACAGGAGACCGAAAGTTCTCTCCCCACCCTGCCATCCTTGACTCACTAGAAGTTCTTGATCTCCAAGTTCCTCCCTTCACAAACTCACATCTGGAAGGGACCCCTGGAGGTCTCTGGTCCAACATCTTGCCCCAAGCAGGGCCAAATTAAATCAGTTCATCTGTATCTCCAGTCCAGAGCTGACCACCTCCAAAGACAGAGATCCCACAGCTCACTGGGATCGCTGGTCCTTCTCATACCATCTCCTACCTCCTTACCCTTGCAGAGTAATCAGCTGATGCTATGCCAAAATCTTATTAAACAAGTAATACAGAATTGGGCTGGTGGTACTGCACCTGCTTAGGTTGTCTTTTGGTCCCCACTCACCTGTGGCTCTCTCTAGACAGGTGGTTCTGCATAAAAGGTAGGTCCTGAAGTTGCCCAAGGGGAAAGCACACAGAGATGAACACTTTGAAAAACAAAAGAAGTACTAATAAATTCACTGGGGTTCTCTTTTCTCCATCCTGTCCTCTCTTAGGATGGATCCTGTCCTTGCTTAGGAGGTTCTGCATCCAACAGGAACTCAGGACCACACCGGATTTCACACCCTTTTATGACTGTGTGTAACACGCTAGAAGAGGCAGGTAGAAGCAGGAACCAGGAGCTACTGCTGATGGAAAACCAGCCTGTGTTGTAAACATGCATTAAACAGGACATCTCAACCTCCTTTTCCTGGCAAGGAAGAAATTAAAAACCCACTCTTCAGAAATACATAAAGACATAAATTAACATCTGTTTTTACATAGGCAGGAACTGCAAGGAAAGAAAACCACCTAGGGGAAAGCTTATACATTCACATATTATCTTGCTCACTCGTCAACTCCTTGCATCATTTTTACAAGTGTGATGAGAGGCAGCAGTTGTGTTTGGGTTTCTGGACTGCGTCCCTGCTGTAGCATAGGCCTGTAGTGTTGTTTATGGGTATCCTACCTCGCTGTGTTTAATGCTGTAATGTTTGCCTCCAGGCACTCGCTTAGCAAAGGCTAAATCTCCCAAAACATCAGTCAATGCCCTTGACTATAAGCAATATTAGGTTTTGTCTGGAAATGTTATGACTTGAAGGGAGGCCCTGTCTTCTGCTAGACATGACAATTACTCCTCCACGTTCCCAAGAGCGCAGAACGTTTTGCAGGCCAGAGGTTATTTCCAGGGGGTTTCAGCCCTGCATGGTGCACATGGCAGAGGCCTTTCCAAAAGCAGCCTCAGCCACCAGCAGCCGGATTTGGGCAGCAGGACTGCTGAGGCTGAAGGCAACCACTGACTTCAGTCGTTTTTAGCATATATTTGCCTTTTCAAAAGACAGTCCCCAGGTTGCTCACGACAGTCTGCAGGTATCAGGGACAGTCCTGCCTTGGGCCAGCCCGGAGCAGCGCCGAGCAGAGTTCGTCCCAGTCGCTCTCATCGTTCTCTTCCGGCTCGCTGCAGGATTTGGAGGGGTTGCTGTGTGGCAAGCTGTGCCCGGAGCCCGTCCTCCGCGGTGCCTTGGGGCCTGTGCTCAGCGTGGACGTGTCCCTGAGGCACACGCTGCCTGTGGACACTGGAGTCTGTTGGCAGCTTGGCTGGGCAGAAGTTCTGTGGCTGAACAACTGTGCTACCAGAGATTTCTGGAGGATTTTTTGCAGGCTTTCACAAGTCCTCTGCTTTGTGCTTAGCTGCGTGTAATGCAAATCCAACTGCAGGAGCACATCTGTCTGGAGGAGGAGAGCAAAGAACACAGAATGAATCAGAGAACAAGACGTAAAGCAGATTGTTTTTTTTTTTTTCCCTACAACCACTGTCAAGAAATTCCAGGCTCGGCTGGCTGTTCTGCAGGCTCACAGCCCCATGCTGTGGTGTGCTAGTGCAATGCTCCTGCCAGAGGAAATGAGCTCTAATACATATTCATGATGGTTGTGGCCGTTTCTGCATTTCATGACCCTCAAGATGCCTGGTCAGGACACTGCTGGAGGGGAGCAGGAGATGGAGACTGTGCCCAGGAAAACTGTATCCACGTGAGGTGCGCAGTGATGTCCATCCTGGCCAAAGCTTGAGAGAGGTGCACACAAGGAGAGGGACACGAACCACTTAAATAAAATGTGCATCTCACATTACAAACCAGCAGCTTAAAAGAGCAAATGCTCTGCAGGAATCCTTCCTCAGTCTAGTGCTACTTTTGACCTTTACAAAGCTGGTGAAGAAATCAGAAAGGAACATGTTAATGGCAGCCAAAATCCTGAGCACAACCCCCTAGTACAGGGTTGTGTCCAAGACACCTGTCTGTACAAAGCAGGGATATGGATAATGGAGCAGGAAGAGACATCTTCCCTCCATGTCTAGCAGGTAGTGCAGGTCCTGATCCCATGTAGGTATTTAGAGGCAATGCTGGATGCTTGGAAAGGGTCGAGGAACAAGCAAGGACTGGAAGAACTGCCCTACATTAAGACACTTAAGGCACTCAGCAAACTGAGCTTGTTTCAAGCAGCCTGAATAGGCAGCAACTCGATTATATTCAGTGCAAGACCATACACCCCAGAGGCTTCACTCGTGCACATGAACAGCTTGCAAGAGCCAGATAAGAGGAAAAAAAATCAAACAGGAAACAAGTTATACAGTACTGCTTATGGAATGATATCCTGTGGAAGAGACAAGCTGGGGGACTAGCGATTCTGCCTCTTCTGCAGTCTTTAAGTACAGTCTGAGTGTTTTTGGAAGTCCTTCTTGCCCTCGGTTCAAGCAAAGCGGGCTGGCAGCCCCACCTTGGCAGAAGGGCAGGGTGAACCAGCAGAAAAAGGCAGACCTTTATGCCTCAGAGATGCCCTGACTCTGAGAGCATCCCCCCTGGGTGGCACCCTGCAATACAGAAAGGTCTCAGCCCCGTTTCTGGTTAGCTGCTGTATGCAGTCTAGGGATACCAGAGCAGCCAGGACCAGACAGCAGCAGTTACCAGAGGGTGCAGGAGAACCATTGGGATTCCCACACAGCAGCTTTTTACCTGAATTTTCTGCAGTCCACTGAGCTGGAATGTGCAGTCATATTCCTCTTGCTTGTAAACAGAGGCGAGCAGAGACTCCATTTGGTCTGGGTGGCTGTCCTGCCGCATGGTCACATCTTGCTTCTCCTGGGTTAGGAAAACAAGAGGATACACATCAAGTTCTCAGCACCAGCCCATCAAACAGGATGTTTGTTTGTATGCTTGCTGTTTGGGATCTGAGCCCTCCAAGATGGGTGACAAGCTGGGACCTGTTATCCACCAGCCCCTTGCATGTGATGGTGGCACTGCCGACTGGCTCTGGTGGCTCCAGCTCACTCTGCCAGCCTGGTCTGGCCAGCCCAAGGATGTCTTTGGCCATAGGAGCTGAGCGGCCCATATGTGCTCATTGTGGCCCTGCACAGAGCTGGGATCCGCAGGTGTCAGCGTCACCCTGACCATAAGGCTGGTTGGAGTACACACCACATCAGTGCTCCACAGCTGCTCCGGCGGGTGCAGGGAGCACGCTGCAGAATCACCATTATGTCCATGAAAAGTCAAACCAAAGCCCTTCTCTGAGAACTGTTACCAGAAACACAATGAGAAACTGCAGAATGATCTTTCAGAAAACATCAGGGCAGTGAACAGGGGACTAGCTGTGCTGGCAAGGGAGGATGGAGTCACTCTCCTGTTGCATTGCTTCAGGTGAAACCTCCAGGTTTCAGTGAAACCTCCAGGTTTCACTGGTAGGTCTGGACTGGGAAACCGCAGGAGACAGAGAGCAGCGCAGAGCGCTTTCTGCCAACAACTACTGCCCTCTCCTGCTCTCTGCTTCCTGTGCCAGCCAGCCTCCCTGCAGCCCAGCTCCCGCCTCTCCTCGGCTCTTTGCATCACAGCACTTGCTCTGGTCTCCCCGTCTGTTCCTGAGCTCGCGCTGATGGCCATCCCACAAGGGGAAAAACTGGTGACTTCTGGTGGTGGTGTCTGTGCTTTCAGCAGCCTTTGGTGGGCCCTCACGAATGCAGTATCGATTTGAACCTTGCTGGATTTGTAGTACCCTGCTACCAAGAAAGCAATCTATCCAGTCCATGGTCAGAAGTCATGCTCGTGGTCACCCCTCACTGGCGCTATCTCTGTCAAAATCCACTCTCTGATGCCATATTGCTCTCCAGAGCGGAGGTCTCTCTTCCGGCTTTCTCCTTAGCACCCCCATTGCTCTGCCCATATCTGCCTTTTGACTTTTGCAAGTTTGCTTTCTGCTGGTGCATCCCCACATATGTGACTTCTCCAACAGTCTCCTCTCTGGTGATTCTGTAGTCTGTAGGAGCTGGGGTTAGGCCATATTCCCTTTTTTTCCCCTCTTTGCAGGCACAGATGGGATAGATAGGATTTGGACACCATCACAAGTGAAAGTGCAGCTCCTGAAAAGCCAGGCACATTGACTTGTTTGGATGGGGTGAACCACCCTGCGTGGCCAGGATGAAGCAAGACCTGAGAGCTCAATGTCCAGATTGGACGTGCTGTTTCTCTTTGTCCCATTCCCAAAGCACCTATCCCTGGAAGGAGCAAATGCTCAGCACTGTGGTGAGAAACCCTAAGTCCCTTCAGCATCCGTGTAGGGATGATCTGCTATCCAGCAGATCCCACTCGCACTAGGACAGGGGCATTAATGGATTAAATCACTGTGTGATTAAATGTTTTTGGATGCATCAACCACCATGCCTTGCTGATCTGCTTGACTTCTGGTTAAGCCTATGTCCTCTTCCTGAGGTGAGGGCTGTCATCAACTGAGATACAGATCTCCAGGTAGAATAATGGTGTCACGTGGTGTCACCTCTGGTATGGGGTAGATCCTGTGACAAATATAATGCCTGAGAGATGCATTTCCAGCTGCTCTTAGAGCACAGCTAGTGACTCTGCAACATCTCTCAGCAAAACTTCCCCCAGACCTTCACACTCTTTATCATGAAAATGTCATGGCCAACCTGCATATTCCTTGGTGCTATTTAAACTATTATTTTCTTTTATCATCTTAACAACCTTTCGCAGATTTGAGGGTCTCCTCTCCACCAATCTTTGCTGCTCTTCCTTAAAAACACAGTTCTTTCAATCTTTCCTTTTATGATTTGGGATATGTTTTAGTTGGTACACTTCTGATGAAACATAGGTCCAAAAACTGGACCCAGTGCTCCAGCCTTAGCAGCAGGGACAGGAGACTTTCTGCTCAAGTCACTCTGATAGGCAAAATACGGGTAGGTGTGGAAAACTTACTGCTTCCTTGATTAATTGGGTTAATTCCACAGGGATTAAAACACGCACCGTGCACCTTGCCTATGTTTGTCTGGCTTGCAGGTCCAGCTCCGGGGTCTTGGCGATGTGAATGCCACTCAGAGGGCTGCCCAGGCTCCCCTCAGCATCCCCAAGAGCTGGCACCACGGGGACACTCACATCTCAAAGGGAGGCAGATGCCTCCTGCAGACTTTGTTGCGTCTCCCTGCTGGTGGGCAAGGCTGCTCGGTGCTGAACTCCAGCATGGACGGCCTCACTGCAGCTGCCTAACGGAATGCACAAACGCACAACAGTCCCCAGAGCTGCTGCCATCTCCACAAGCACCACTGGAGGTCAGTGTGTGCTAGATCTGTCTGTACAACAGTCCCGTTCTTGGTCTCCTCAGTGCCTCCTGCACCAGTTCTGGAAGCAGAAGCAAGTAGGTGGACCCACAAGCATTAATATGAGGCAGATGGAAACACCTGCACACAGACAGCCACAAACAATTTTCATGCACAGTCAGGAGCTCACAAGGGGAGATGATGCTCCGGGCTTGGTACTGAGCAACGGATAGGATCGGGCTCCAAACCTCCCACTGGCCGCATCGCTCTGCATCAGTGACTACAAGGCACTGAGTGTCAGCATCCCTCCAGGAGCAACAGGGGCTGAAAAATCCACCACAGCCGCACTACATTTCAGCCAGGGAGCTACAGAAAATGAGGAAGATTGTTAATAAAAAGGCACAGCAAAGAGAATAACATTCTTAAGAAGTGGCATGCAGACTGGAAGCTGGGGTGGCTGAGCAGCGCACAAGACTGTTAGGATGTATCTTTAAATTAAGATACAATAGCACAGCATATTAAGAAAGCAGCATTCAAAAAGCCAGAACTGTTTCCAAACAAACATGGGAAGGATCAACTCCAGTAGATTAAATGCACAGATTTAATCAGGCAGACTTAAAAAACAAGATTCTGGGGAGTAACAAGCTACAGACACCAAAATTAGCATTAGAAATTAACATTAAATCTTTTTTTTTTTCCCTGGTGAATTAGGAGTAAGGAACGTGGCAGGCAGCCTATGGGCCACTGATAACACGCATGCAGCATTTGAGGAGCACAAAGCCTTTGCAGAGAGGCCAGAATGGATTATTTGGATCACGGTTCTTAAAGAAGGGGGTCCTCACACTGAACCAGGGACATCTCAGGAGACTGAGACAAGTACTGAACGCAAGTGCTAATAGAGCCTGTGGGTGTTTCAAGAATGGCTCAGCTGAACAGAGGTGTCCTTTGGTCTTCCCACCAACTCTGTCTCCAGTGGAGAGAAAAGAAGCCCAGAGCTGGTACTGGGCTGGAGACAGCAGGAACACAGGGATCTCTAGTGCAGGTAGAGCATGCACGCTGAGTGTGCACAAGGACTGTCACATGCTGGGAAAAGTCACTTCCTTTTTCTTTTTTAGCACACGCTGCATGGGACCGGTGCCACCGCTACTGTAAGGAAACCTTACTGAGCAAGGAGCAACTGGGCCCAGCAGAGCTAACACTTTTGAAGAGCACAGCTAGGCTGGATGCCCTAATAACGAGCCTAGCAAGCAATAAGTAAGTGTATGATTCCCTCTTTTAGCTCAGTGCCTGCCTTTGCACAGGGGTTTGGCTCTTTCCAGCCCTCGGGACTCTTGTGACATGTGACACATACCACATCTCCCATTCTCCTCTCCTTCTCCTCTTCTGGACGCATCCTCTTCCAAACGCATCCTGAAGCAACACTTCACCTCCCCGCCCTGCTTGCCATAAACCCTCTCCTGTGTACGCCCTGGGGAAAGGAGCCACAAGGAATTGGAAACACAACCAGCTCCTTTCCACAAAGGACTTACAGCCAGACAGCAGAGCAGGAGGCGGACGTCGGCGATGTGGGATGGTAGTGCCTGTAGCTTGGCACACACGTATACCACGTTGGAGAAAACCTGATGGAATCGGAGCTCCACCCGTGCCCCGCACGGGAACATCAGTACTTCATTAAGCACCTCTGGAAGAGAAAATTGAGTGGGATGAGCAGCATTGGACTCCTTGAGGTCTTATCAGCCCCAGCTGCTCTCTGCAGGCCAACATCACACAGCCTCTTCCCAAATAGCTGTGAGACCTCCGGCTCCGTCTGTGCCTGTTGGCTCTTCCCACTACTTGCACCCTTACCGTGGCTGCGGCCCCAGCGCAGTGCGGCCGCTCCTGAGGGGCAGATGGGGTCTGTGAGCGCCCGGGCTTCCTTCAGCGTGTGCTTGATCTCCATCACCTGCTTCCCAGTGACCAAAGGATCCCGGCCAATATCTGAGAGAGAAATTTCGAGGCACTAAGGGCACTGCAGCATCCAGAGGCATCAGGGTCCCTAATTTTCTCATCTCGAATTTCAAATCTTGCATGAACATCCTAGCTGTGTTGCTGCCAGGCTGCTAAAAACTCTCACAAGGAATGCCCTGCTGTGCCTCTCCTGCATTTCTAGCACGGACTGGTTGTGCAGGATAAGCAAGACTCACCTGTGCTGCCTAGCGTTTAAGGAATTCAAGGCATGGAACCAGCAATTTAGATTGAAAGCTTTGCTCCGCTTTAATGATCTTACTGCATCTGCTCTGTGACTCCTGATCTCCCTCTTTGGCTGCCAGGCCTCCCTGCCTTCCAGATCACAAGCAGGTCTATTTTCTGTTTCTAAGGAGAAGGGAGTGTGGGTGCTCATCTTCCTTCTCACCCTTGCTGGGATGGCTGCAGAGATGTTCAGCTTGCTCAGATACTTTCTGCTGGTATCTCCTCTTACCACTGCTACTGAAATCAGTGATCTCTAGCTTAAAAGCACTACCTTACCTTCTAACACATCCTCCAGCATGTGTGTAACTTTTTTTTCCTGCAGAATATGTTTCTTCAGATATTTCATGAAGATCCCAGAGCTGAATTCCCCATCCTGCAATTCATAGGCTTCTGCATCTTCACTTCTGAAAAAAACACAATAATAACTTGTTTTCATCTTTTTGCACTTGGCAGGAAGCCCTGGGGTACTTAGGGCTTGCTGACATCCCGGCTATATTGGCTGGGTCTAGCTTTGGTTAGCTGCTCAGGCAACTGCACAAGTGAGGGTGGGAAAAGCTGAAGCAAGCAGAGGAAGCAGATGGGAAAGGACAGCACGGCCTCTTTTGCCAGCCCTGGCGAGTAACAGCAGCTGAAGAGCTTGCAGGACTTGCATTTGAGCAGTAAGCAGGGCTCTTGCCCATCTTGGGAGGCTTTGGATAACTTCCTCAAGGCACGTATCCCTTGGGAATCAGGCTCAGGCATAGCAGGACAAACGGCAGGAGCTAATGCCATCTTCACAGGGAATTCAGGACTGATGAGCTGCGTGCCTAGCTTTACACAGCTCAGGAGAAGCATACACTGTGTTGGTCGGCAGAACTCCACTCACAAGGCCTTGGAAATGGGGTCAGACTGAATGGTGGCTCAGCTCCAACCACTGGCAGTGCACTGAAGAAGGAAAGAAGCACCAGAAGAGCAAACACTAGAGGGGAAGGGTGAGAGACAGAAGGAATATAAGAAAGATCTTCTCAAGCCTCCGAAGCCACCAAGAACACAGGGATGTTAGGAGATGCCAGCTTTGGGCTGTGCTGGGACCTCACATTATGGCATGGCCATGGCAAAGTCTACTTACGTGGCATAGCCATAAACGGTATTGCCCCGGGGCTCCAGTGGCTGCACGTGGGACAGGGCACACCCTGGGTTGTACCTGGAAGAGGAGACCAAGCTATGAGTTAGTGTTAAGGTCATCAGTCATTTTGTGCCCGTGTAGGGGTTCACCTATTTCCAAGAGCATTAAATCTGTCTGGGGTGACTGGTTTTCACTAAAAATGCTGCTGTGCTGGCACTCGATGGCAAGCCTTGCTCAGGGGCTCCTCGGGCTGGAGTCAAATTGGACAGCAAAGGGACTGGTTGCTGCCAGGGTTTGAGGCGTACACTAGTGATTTGAAGATGTTCCCAATCACAGAGGAACAAGAGCTGAGAACATAGGCAGTGTTACTCAGTCCCAGGAGAGTTTGCTGGGGCTGAAGCTGGCAAGTTGAGGAGAACAAATGGGGCTGTTACATGGCCAACAACCAGCAAGGCTACCTACTGCTGGTGGCAAATTCTGGAGAAGTTGCTGAACGGTGAATATTCATCTGGCTTGTATAAATTTTCTAAAGATGCTCAGAGATGTCGAAAAAGAGATGATTCTAAATATGAACATGGAATGTGGAGATATGCCTGTTTCCAGCACTGAGGAGACACAAGACACTGCATCCCAAAATAAGCTGAGATCCTTGCTGTCTACGTAGGCTGCACAGACACAAGCTGGCACCTGCCTTTCGTGGCTCCACCAACAGACACACGTTGCCACAGCTACGAATGTTCAGCAGTAGCATTTCCAGACCCAACTGAGCACAACGAGGGGCTCGCTCCTGCACGAGCCCCCGTTAAAATCTCATTCATGTGGCACATCTTACGCAAGCGGGCCGTAGTGAACGCGACTCTGATCTGCATTCCAGATAGGAGATGGGGATCTTCCTTCTGCCCTACGTAGCGCGTGCTAGAAACTCTCCTCAGTCAGTGCCCGAGGCGGCACTGTGCTGAAATTCCTGGAAGAAGCAATTGCATCCACTCAAAATGAGCACTGATCTACGCATGAATGTACTAAGCTACACACAGACTCCACGTTCGTGGTTCCTCCTTCACCGACACTAAACTGTGTCTGTGAACATCTGCTACTGTTTGGCCAAGTACAACGAGCGCTGTTGTACTGCTTATTGACTTAGCATTTCCGATGGCAGCACGTGGGGTGGAGAGAACCTTCAAGTTAGACCCTTCTCCATTGGCACACACACAGCTCTTCCTCATTCAAACAGGGCTGAGCAAGCAGGAAGAAGACTGCACCTCCAATGCTCAACATTAGTCCAATCTAGTTTAATGGGGAAAAAAAAATCTTGCTGATTTAAGGAGGCACAATTCTGAAATCCAGATGTTTTGCTAAGCTGACACACTGGCTTAGGTTTTGCATGAAAAATAAACCCAGGAGAAAGAGCTTTCTACTGCAATCCATCGTGAGCCCAGACGTAGCACCTACTGCAGTGAAATACCACGCTTCCTGTGAGAAAGGGTAGGAAAGAAATTTCAGCTGAAGGAGAGAGGAAAGAAAAAAGACAGCCACGTAACCCCATCTAAATGTCAGAGCAGATCTGACATTGCATCCTTTTCCCGAAGCGCCCTAAAAATTCACTGAGCACAGAAATTACCGGGGATGCCAAGAAAGGAAACAGCAGCCCAAGAGCTAATTCACAGACTGTTGTCATTCGTGTCAGAAATCCCAGTGCTGCCTTCGCACCGCAAAGCTACGCACTGCCATGCAACATTTCAGGAGCTGGCTGACATCTGGATGAACCTCTGGTTTAACCTCTGCCCCTGGCTCTGGCATGGGCCTCGGTGATGATCAGCAGCTCTGCTCACCAAAGCTCATCTCAGCATTACAGAAACAGATCACCTAGTCCAATTCCCTTGCTCACCCATCCTATGGTCACCCATAGGATGCTGCCCAGGACCCTGTCCTGACACCTTCTGAATATCTCCAGAGAAGGACTCCCAGGTCCTTCTCTGCAGAGCTGCTCTCCAGCAGATCAAGCCCCAGCCTGTACTGGCACACGGGGTTGTTCCTCCCACCTCTTTTCTTGAACTCCATGAAGTTGCCCTCTGCCCATCTCTCCAGCCAGCCCAGGTCCCTCTGAATGGCAGCACAGCCCTCTGGGGTACCAGCCACTCCTCCCAGTTTGGTGCCATAAGTAAACTTGCTGAGGGCACCCTGTGCCCCTTCATCCAGGTCACTCATTAGTAAGTCGAACAGCTTTGGACCCAGGAGTGAACCCTGCTGGTTACTGACTTTTGTGTCACTGATCACAACTCTCTGAGCTCAGCCATTTCTCAGTCCACCTCCCTGCTTGCTCATCCAGCCTGCTCAGAGCTTGCCTATGAGGATGTTATGGGAGACAGTGTCAAAAGTCTTCCTGAAGTCATAGCAGACAATATCCACTGCTCTCTCCTCTTCTATCCAGTCAGTCGTTCCATCACAGAAGGTCATCAGGTTGGCTGAGCATGATTTCCCAATTGTGAATCCATGTCGATTACTCCCCATCACCTTCTTGTCTTTCCTGTGCTTGAAATGGTCTCCAGAATTAGCTGCTCCGACACTTCTCCAGAGATGGAGGTGAGGTTGATTAGCCCGAAGTTTCTCAAGTCCTCCTTGCTGTTATTGAAGATCAGACGTTTGCTTTCTTCCAGTCCTCAGGCACCTCACCTGATTGCCAAGACCTTCCAAAGGCGACTGAGAGTGGCCTTGCAACGACATCAGCCAGCTCCCTCAGCAATCAGGGGGAACCCATCAGGCCCCATGGACTTGTCTATGTCCAGTTTGCTTAATCTTAACCTCCTCCACCAAGAGAATTTTTTCCTTTTCCAAATTCTTCCCACGTTTCCAAGGCCTGGGATTCCTGAGGGCTGTCTCACCAATAAAGACTAAGATAAAGAGGCATTAATTACCTCTGCCTTTTGTGTCTTTTGTCACCAGAGCCCCTGCCCAACACAGTGGGCCCACATTTCCCCTACTCTTTCTTTTGGTACCAATATGTTTACAGAAGCTCTTCTTGTGGTCCTTGACTTCCCTTGCCAGATTAAATTCCAGAAGGGCCTTGGCCTTCCTAGCCTCATTCTGCATATTTTGACAATATGCAGGTCCCTCTATTTTTCTCAGGTTACCTCTCTCTGCTTCACCTTCTGCATACTTCCTTCTTCTGTTTGAGTTGTGCTATCAGCTCCTCACTCACCTATGCAGGTCTCCCACCCACTCTGTTCAACTTCTTCCTTACTGGGATAACCTGTTCTTGTCCCAAGTTCTGTTACCACATCTAGAAGGTGCCAAAAGGGGTCTTCCCCATCCAGGGGCTTTCCAGGAGCTAGTCTTTCCTTCAGGGCAGAGGCTAAGATGTCTGCAGTCTCAGCATCTCCACCATCCCAGCTCTCAGGCCAGGAGCACAGGAAGAAAAGGGAATCTTTATTGCCTTTTCCTTCCAGGTTTTTACCACCCTGTAGATCTACTGCAGGTGCCCCAAATAAATGAAATGATGACAGCTTTTACTGAAAATAGGCAAATAACAATTTTCTGCAGCTCAAAAACTAGCTATAGGAAGATATTTTTTCACAGATAGAGGGAAAACACTGACCCCCAACCTCAGCATCAGCCTCTGAAGTTACTTTCAAGACATGAAGTCTTTGGAAGTCTTAAAGCAAAACAAAGTAGCATAGTTTATTTTCCCCATCACCTTCCTAAATGTTTCCTGTGCTAACTTCTGTTCACCAAGACATGAACAAAAACACAGCCAAGAGAAAAAGAGATGAGCTGAAGAGCCCAGCTGAAGCACACGGAGCAACATGTACAGTGCACGTGCAAGGCTGGTGAGCAAGGAAGCACAGTGGGCAAGCTGGCATGTAGTGGGCAAACTATCACGTATGTCCCACAGAGCGTGTCCCACTGTCCCAGTGTGTGTCCCTGCACTAGCAGGGCCAAACAGCAGGGAGCAGGGAAATGTCAGAGGGATGTTGGTGTAAGCTGTGAGGCTGGATGGTTCAGGGCAGGGGGAATCATCTGGAGATGAAGCAGAGAATGGGGCCGCTCTTTTGGGGCTAAAATGTAGACAGAACTGCACTGTCTTCATGCTTAGCAGCGGTGAATGCTCCATGTTAGGACAGAGCTGGCCTTGCACAGACTTGAGGTGACCATCAGGTCTTGCTCTAATAGCTTCACTCTACCAGGCTTCCATATCATGGAGAATCATGAAGGAAAATAATCAAGGAAAGGCTTCCAGCCACCTCTCTTCAATGGATCTCAAGGAGGATCTGACACTTGCAAAGCTGAATCTAGAGCACAACTGAGAAGGCTACCCAAGGGAACCTGCAAGACCGAACAGTCTTGGAAACGACATGATACAGTCCAAAAACCCGTGACAAAGGTGTTGGCTCAACAGAGAGACAGAGCACGTGCGGACAGCAATCCCTGGCAACATCTCTGAAGAGCAACACTGCTAAACAGGGTTGAGGCTGACCCCTCTGAATGTTACATTCTGCCCATCCTGGGTGAGGAAAGGTAAGAAGCACCCTACCATTTCCTGCAGGTGTCCAGAAGGATGAGATTCAGGGCTGTCTGCTGCTGCTGCATCTTCTGGAGGATCCTCTGCACGCTGATGCAGTTCTCAGGGGCATAGGGCTGTGGGGCATCAATGGGGACCATGTAGTTCCTCCCTGAATGTTCATATCCATGTCCAGCGTAGTAAAATATAGCTGGGAATGGGATAAGGACAGGATGAGTGACGATGCAAACCTGCAGGCTGTAATAGCTCCCCATGACCATGTCCCATATACCACCCTGAGGCAATACTGGCAGAAGATTGACCTGGAGTTCCATTTTTTGACAAAGTTTTGTTTCTTTTTTTTTTTTTTTTTTTTTTTTAAAGTTTGACAGTTAGAATGAGACAATGGACAAAGAAATATTCTACTCTGATAAAACTATATTCACAACTTTTTAAATATGAAGCTCCACAGCTCTCTAGTTTTGGAGCAGAGACTAGCAATGCATTAGGTGATGGAAAACACCCTTCAACTTTCAAAGGTCTACCTGTAGATACCCACTTATTAACCAGTTATAAACAACGAGACAGACACCTGAATACATGTACCACACGTACTGATGATCTCAAACCAGCCACCAGCCCTGGAAGGTGGGAAAGGGTCAGACTCTTACAGGTGGTAGTCACCAAGGACCTCTGAAGTCCAACACCCAACGAAGATCTGAGTTTGGAGCTTTACTCTTAAGCAAGTAAACCATAATAATAGTTTTTGGCAATCGGGGAAACTTCGGTTTGGAAAGCCCAGCGCAATGGAGGTGCTGCTTCTTGCTGACTTCCATTTAACTCCCCAGATACGCATTTGCAGAAGGGCTTTCCTCACTTGCAGACATCCTCGTGTCAGCTGTAGCCTTCCCAAAACAAGGGGAGGGCTGCAGGGCAGCTTGCTGGCCCGTCCCAGCGCTGATACAGCTGTCGGCAGGACTTGCTGAAAGACAACTCGGGGAACCGAAAGGTGTTGAAAATAGCTCTACAAGATGATGCAAACGGTTGTGATGCTGCAATTATGGGACAGTGGAGAACTAGAGTTCAGAAACGGGAACAAGCAGCTGAGAGGCAAAAGCAGGGAAACGTCTTAAGTCAGATTTGCTGTCGGAAGTAGCAAATTCATTGAAAAACCAAACCACCCTTCTCTATTTTCCTAGCACTGCTCTTACCTCAGTAGTTTGCAGGATACCCATTTGATTTCTAATCCTGAAAGAGATGCAGTGGGTGGAACAGGAACTGAAGGACTGAAAGCATCATCTTATTACAAAAACAACTTAAAAATCATCTTTGGTTTCTATTCTCAGGCAATGAAAGTTACTCAAGTGGCTGTTTTCACAGGTGCCTGAAAGGTTTGGGTTCCTCTTCTTGCGGAACTCCAGGCAGAAACAGTGGGCTTTGACTTGCAGAAGTGCTAAACTTTCTTAACTTGAACTGGAAGCCACAAAACCCTACTGTGAGGCTATAAAAACATCAAATGGGATGCATTCGGAAAAAAATCAGAATCAGGCATTTCTGATTTGGCCTTTGAAGTAGTAAAGCTACATATCCCTCTAGGGCTCATCTCTCTAGCTTTGTTTGGTACATAAAATGAAGATGAGATCCTTTATGGCATTGGTAATTGGTATTACCAAGGCCCTGGTAAGTCAGGATAACTGACACTTGGAAAGAACTAAAGTTTTATAGAAACGCTCAAAAATAAGGATTAAATCACTAGTCATCAGAGGCGTTCCACAAGGACAGTGAACCACCTGTAGGGATCATTTCTAAATGAGGAGAGAAACGTAATAGAAATATTAAATAATAACAGAACACAGCCAAATATCGCCTGGCTCGCTTATGATATGGTCCCTGCCTAAGTAAATATAATGCAAACATGTCAGTGGACACAGTGTCAAAACACAGAGGGTTCCGGTTAAGACAGCAAAACCAAATCAACAAAACACCTGCTAACTTTGAGGAGCTTGTTTTGCCACCTAAACAGGCTATTGAGTGCTTGCTGCACTGTGCGAGTTACAAGACAGAAGCGATTCTAGCTCCATTTGAGAAAGAGAAAACGCCAGTATTCATGTTTTTTGAGCAACTTTGCTGGAATCCTCTTCTAACATCCTCTTTTTCCTCTTTCCTCCTTTTAAACAGGCACCTCCAGGTTTTGTGTAAGAAAAAGGGAAGGTTTTTCTTTTTAATTATGGGTTTAGTTTCACTGCTTTCCCACGTTTTGTGAAACAAAACTGCTGATCCACAACTAGCTTCTGAATACCAAAATATAAAGGGGAAGTTCCAGGGACTGGCTATAATACAGGAAATGTCAGCATACAGCTTCAATAACATATGACGATCTATTCCTAGTATTTCCTTTGCAACTTTTTTTCTCTGTTGCATTTCTGGCCTTATTTTTTGACTTGGGGATTTTTAGGATAGTTAAAATAACATCTCGGGAGAGTCCTCACTTGCCTGAAGGTTACATGTACAGGATGGGTTTGGGGCCTGGTGCTTTGGGACAGTACTTTTAAGAGGAGATCACAGGCTCTGATACAAATAAGCTGTAACCTTTGGAAGGTGAATTTAAGAAAAAAAAAGGTAGCTGTAGCTAAATCACTTTGAACACACAGTCATACCACACCATTGTGCCTCAAAAGGAGCTCTGTGTTGGTGCGGATCTTGAGAAATTAGGTTCAATAATAAAGCGTGCAAAGTCCTATACTGGGGCAGATAACCGCCAGGCATCATTTTGGATGGGGAGCTACTGATTGCAAAGCAGCCCTGAAGACAAAGATCTGGACTCTTAGTCGCCACCATGCTGAAGGGGAGCCAGTATTGGGGCTCTACCAGGGCAGAGCAAAACCTGCACGGGGCTACCGCAGGAGACGCAGGGCCAGCAGGGTGAAGGGAGCTGTTACATCCTCCCCTTAGCCCTGGGGAGGTCCCACTTGTATCCTGCATCCAGTTTTAAGGCAATCAGTTCAAGAGGGAGATGGAGAAACTAGAGAAGAGACCAGCAAAAGCTACTAAGATAGTAGAGTCCAGGGTTAGTCTGGTAAAGCAAAGGTGAAGCCAAGATCTAAAACCAGGTTCCAGCTCCTGCAGGGGCTACAGAGACAGCAAAGTCCAAATCCTCTCCCTGGTGGCAGACAGGAAACATGGGGCAACCTGAGGAGGGTCAGGCCAGACAGAAGGAAAGGCTTCTCCCTTCTGGGCTGGGCAGCCTTGGAACAGGCAAGGGGGGCAACTGGGGGCTTCAACCTTGGAGATCCTCAAAAGCTGCTGATAACAGTCCTGCACTGAGCAGGACTTGAACTACAAAAGCGTCTTCCAACTAACCCCTCCAAGTCACATATGGCTCAGTAAGGAGACAAAAGGGTGGCCCAATCATCCACGAGCATCATCTCTAGGGTGTGCACGGATGCGCCTGGGTGGCGCCAGGATCTCCCACCTCAGCCTTGTAAAAAAGTCTTCCGTGACTCAGCCCTCTCCTCCCAGCTCTGTGCTCCACTCCATGCAGCTATACAAAGTTCTCATGACTTCAGCTTTGGCGGTTGCAACACAGGAAACGGCACCTCAGGGTTCCCCAAGCATGAAAAAAACAGGGGGAGGCACCGGGATGGCTTTGCTTATGCAGGTACCTGTCCCAAACACCTGTGTGGGTGCACAGGATGTGCACAAAGGAATGCTGATGAGTTTTGCAGTTTTAATAGGTGACTTAGATCGTTACTGGAGCTGCTGTGTCACCATTCTGTCCTCTGCCTCAGAGCACTCTGAATTCTCAATCCATCAACAGCCTCTAGACCTTTATTCTGGAGCTCAGGCCTTTGAAAAGCTAATCCACGGATCTTAGGATGAGCTCTTGGCTTGTTCTAAACACAAGTTAATTTCAATGACTTGCTGTTCACCCGTTTCTTTTAATTTTCTGCCAGATAAACATCTGAAGAAACATTGGAAGATGCATCACAACAAGGCACCCCACAGGTCTGATCCAGAAACCCTGGGGCAAGCAGCAGACAAACTAACCAAAGTTCTCACTGGAAATCTGGATGCCACCCAATTATGACAAGAGTCTTCAAATTATGACATGAGTCTTCAGCACAATCACCGTGCTGGGACTGGCCTGATGGCTGCTGTCTTAATCCATTAGCAGGCCACTCAGCTTAGAAAGCTATAACGAAAATCCACTATGACTGACAAACACCCAGGGCTTATTAAGGTTCAGTACCTCACTGTTAATATTTTCCTTGCCACTGCATAGAATCAGTTTTGCCATGAAGGCTGAATGGCGAAGAATGCAAAACAAAACCAAAAAAATACTTCTTTTTTTTTTTAAATAAAAAGCATGACAGCATGAAAGATTTATCATTTAAAATCTTTCTTTGTTTTTGTTTTTTCCCTCCAATGCTCATGAAAATAAGGGAATCTTAGCGTAAAGCAAATGTTTTGTTGCTGTATGTTATAGATACAGACTTGCTGGGTAGGACCTGCAGCTCCTTACACCCTGCAGAATCCATGGTAGAAGTGGGTGAGCTCTCCAGATGGAGCCCGGGAGAATCACAGGACTCTGGTGAGGGAGAGAGGAGGCAATGCCTGAGATTGCAGGGGAATTTCAGAAAGAAACCACAAAAGGAAGTTTGCAAGTGAAATCATAGGAGTAAACTATCATCAGATGATGCACTCAGCCCAGGCAGTGACAACCCTGTGCTTCCTTTCTGCACCAGCTGAACCTCCCCAAGTGACTCAGATTCCCAGAGGAGGGAGCGTTGCTGTATTTCTTCACATGAAGATGTCATCTGTGCCCTTGCCCTTATTCTCTGCACAACATCCAGACCTCACACCGATCACTATGCTGGCACTGGCCTGCACTTGTGTCTTCCGTCAGAATATCCTGGAGTGTCACGCAGCCTGGAGAGCTGGGGGAAGAAAAAGCATCCCACAAAAGCAGGCTGTGCCTCCCTGAGGCTTGGAAGATGACACCATCTGCCAAGTGTTTCCAGGGTATTTTATCACCTTGAGAGGGCCTCACAATCCCCAAGGAAGCTACTTTCACCACTGATTCCAAACGCTTGCTTTAAGATCCACAAGATTGGCTTTTTTAAGGAATGTCCCCTCCCACCCCACTGCCACATGCACACGCAAGGACAGTGTGCAAATAGCTCCAACCTAAGCCACCTGCAGCTGGGAATGCTCTCTGCTTCTGCAAAGAAAAGGCTCCTCATGTCTCAAATTAGACCACCAGGAAAGAGGAATGAGGAAATTGTGGCCAGCTGCAACACTCGAAATGAGTTTCTGCCCTCACAAAGGAACTCTGTGGGGCCACCAATATTCACATTAAAGCTATCTTCTCAATTTTATCTTTTAAGAAAAATTGAAATACCCCCTCCCACACAGTAGCTCCCTGAAACCCTGCCACAGCAGCACGAGATCATGTTATTTGAGATGAAAACTCAGAGAATCATGTAATAGAGAAACGCCCATTATGACTGTCCATAACCTGGCCCAAACTAAGCAGCATTTACCTGCCAAGCCCAATACTCCTGCAGACTGTGCTGTAAGTCTCCTCTGTCCTACATACAGGAAAGTTCAATTTCTTCCTTTTAATATAGTAATGGCTATAAAAATTTCTTAACGAATCCCTGCTCTCCCCTAGCACCAACCACTGTTAAGCTTGTGTTGGCCACTGCCTGCTTGGCCTCAGTGGAGGCCGGGCTGGCTTTGCCTTACCGTAGACACCTTTCCCCAGAAGCTGCAGGAAGCGACTGACCGCTGTCATCATCTCGGCCTTGTTCAGGTCCAGAAGAGACACAACCTGGAACTCCAGTTGCTTTAGCAGAAGACTCAGTTCAAATACATCCGCGACAGGAGCCATAAGGTTTGGATGATGCTGGTAATGGTTGTTGCCCACGAGAAGTGCTATCTTGTCTGTAGCTAACAGAAACACCAAACAACAAATCTGTAAATGCTCAGCAGGGATCAAGATATTGCTTCATTCAGTTAGACTGAGGATACATCAAATCTTTTATTTATTTATCTTTTAATGATATTTAGTTAGGATACTTGGCATTCAGCAGCCACAGGGGAAGAGAGCTTTGTTCTGGCCTGAGGAGCGAGAAGGCAAAAAGGTGTCACATAAGCAAGACTTTTGCAGGCAGAGATTATTAGCAATGTCCTTATTCTGCTTTTGATTCATTCTGTGCCTCGCAGCTTTGATGCCAACAGACCAGCACAAGGAGAGCCCTTGACAATGTGGGCATCAAGGCTCAAAATGGTCTCTGCGGGAGAAAACCCTCCTACGTCCTGTCCTCACATCCACTTCAGAGCTCGACTTCTAAATAGGGAAATAATTGCTCAGGAAAAGGGACTTGCAGTACTCACCAAAAAACTTTTCAGGCTGACACGTACCTGGAAACAAAGAGGGAAATGATAAGCACATGCTCAGCAGTCAGGTTCCCAATGCCAACCCCAATTACAGGTGTCAAACCTAACCCCTCGGCCCCTGGCTGTGCAAAGCTGGATTAAACAACCCAGCAGCACAGCTGACTGAGCGACATAGACTGTAAAGCTGCTCCTCAGACCAGTTTTACATGACCCGCTTACTAACCTTAGAGATACTAGTCTGCTCATTTCAAGAGCTTTTCTGCACCAGCCCCCTACAAGTACCTGAACTGACATGTGGGCAGCAAAGGGGAAGGGTGGATGATCAAGGATCATCCTTGGTTGGATGGATCAAGGCAGAGGAAGGCGCCAGCGCGAGAGCAGATGGGAAACATCTGCACATCCCAACAAAGCAAAGCTCAAAGAAGGAGCAGGCTGGGGCAAGGAGCATGGAGAAGCCAGTGCTGCCCATGTGGAAGCCTGTACTGCTGGTGCCAGCCCTGCTGCTCTTCCCAGGATGACCCGCCTGCTCCCTCATTGCAGAGGGAGCAAAGGAAACAGGAGGACTCGAGGAAGAAACTCAGACAACATTAACTTTGAAGCAAAAAAGCATCTCCCTATGAAAGGTCAGCACTTTTAGGAAGCAGACTGTTTGCTTTAGATAAAATTTCCAGTGCGTTTCAACACTCTGCTTTAGTTTTCTCTGCCTTTTAGCAGCTCCAGCTCAGAAACACCACCCAAACATGAGTCATTTTCACGAGATCCACAAGCTTCCCTGCCCAAGTGAGCACGGCATGGAATTTCACTGGTGCCAGCAAACCCAGCAGGCATCTGCACAGGCAACCTGTCCCCTGAGCTCTCCCTGCACACAGCCTCTAAAAGTCATCATTACTCTCACAGCTTCTGCTTTTTTTTTTTTTTTTTTTAATTATTGTTAATAATCATCCAGCCCAGGATAAAGCCCTGAAACCCTATAGGTTCTAAATGAAGAAAGTAAGGAAATATTTTTTCAATTGCATAAATTTCACAGATTTGGAGACTTTCTGGACCTGGATACGCAGTGCTGACAGTGCTGCTAATGCTCCAGGCATGCCCAGAAAGCACCAAAACAAGCCCATTTGTCCTCTCTTTTCTGCCTCCAGCAGAGCTGCTTATCATATGTTAAAACTATACAGCCTTCACATTTTCAATCCAGCCCAGTGCGATACCCTTTCTCGCTACCTGTCTCTTCTGTTTTGTCAGCTGCAAGGAGTGAAGGAGGGTGGACAAGGCTCCCTAGTCATACACGACCAATTTGCAGTTTATAAAGATTTTACAGGCAACATAAATGGCCAGAGAAGAAACTTATGGCAGCGAAAAATCTCTAGATGGGAGTCAAGAGCAGCAATGCTGCCCTGTGCTATTCCTGTCTCGTGGCAAAGCAAAGGCACAGGATGAAAGCAGCCATCAGACTGAAGGTGGAGCAGGTATGAGACTCCGGAAAGCCATCCTTTCCCCTAAATCCCTTAGGTCATACAGGAATCAGGCCTGGCCAGCTCTGCTGAGCTACCTTAACCTTCCTGAAATAAACACTACGCATCCCAGCTCTACAGATCTGAGCACATAATACTTTCTCTCAGTTTCAGTAAGGGATCCCAGCACAATTTGGGGTGATAAACTAATAAACCAGTACATCAGTAGGACAGGAATACCCAAGTGGGCACTAGAAAGCACAACCTAACACGGTAGGCTTCTTATGAGGTGATCAGAGGTGCTTTAAAAGCCGTCTTCAAACCCGCACAGCCAAAAACTGAGGCAGAAGGACAGCGAGCTACCAAGTATCCAGTATGCAGCTACGCTCAGTCACACACGTGCTGATCTGCTTGCCTGACAGCTCCAAAACAGGTCACCACTTCTCCTTGCTACTCCTAGACATGAGAAAGAGCTCATCATGTAGCTCTGTGTCCCACAAGACGCTTCACTGAACGCAAAAGCCTTTGCAACTTCAGTCATGCCACAGAATACAGTGGCACCCTTGCAGCCGAGCAGCTGCACAGACATGCAGGAAGATCACTTGCATTTTTTCTTTTACAGATGCCATTTCCCTCGCTAATTTTGAACTCTGTTATCAAGGAATTCCATTTATCACTGCTCTGGCCTGTCAGCAGGGACTAACAGACACCCACGTCCTCAGCTTGTGCAGCTCCACTGAGATCATCGCTTCAAGTATACCCAAGGTGTGAAATTGTGCTTTGCAGGCAGCTTCAGTGACAGCTGCCACAGGGCAGCCAGGACGCTCCAGTTTCTCTGCGGAGCCCCACGTTGCCTCTTCACGAGTTGCTATGGCTACAGAGGGTTTCCAGGTTCAGCAGCAGTCTCTCCGATATCCAAGGCCCCAGATGCACCACTTCTGCCCTCACCTTTTAGCGCACAGCACATCACTGCTCAGGGCTCGGCACAGAGCATTCACACAAATATGTGTATTTTTCCACACATTAACCGAGGCAGAAAAGTAAACAACTCACTGTTTAACATGGCTATTTTTTCAATGACATTCATAAAGCACTCGGAAGCTTTTTGCACTGTGCTCTGCTGAGAAGTGGTGTCTAAAACTGGTGGTCTTTTTTTTTTTTTCTGTCGGTTTGGGGTTTTTTGTTACGGTATGTTTTTTGCAGCATATGAGGTGAGGCAAAGGTGGAAGCATCATGTCCTTCTCCCCGTCTCGGTTCCCCTGCACAGAATGAGCCCCAGGATAACACTGTTGCCTTGGGCTCCTTGTCCACCAGCCTGGCTTTTCCGAGCGAGAGCACCAAAATCCTTCTCTGCCCCATAATCACTTCTCACGCTAAAGGATGGTTTGTAACAAACCAGATATTGGTTGGCTCTGCTCACCCACGTGAATATCCACTGCGTTGGTCCAGTGCTCTCCATGGCTATTGGAAGCACAGCAGAGGTACGTGCCGGAGTCGCTGACCTTTGCATGGTTGATCTAGACAGATTGGAAGTTAAATCACATTATTTCTGCTGAACGCTTGCGTTGCCCTGACAGTATTTGCCAAACACAACCCTGTTCCTGGAACTCAGGCTCTCTTTTGTTGCTATTCACCATAACCTAGCCTGAGAGGACTCAATCTAATGAGTTTTTACATGACTTTTCTTTCTAGACGCAGTTCAGTAAGTTCACACGCTGTCTGTTACAGACCTGAGCTTGTAGAGCACGAAGATACTCTGCCAAACCCTCCCTTCCTTCTCCAACAACCCTGAAGCTGTATCACAGTCACAGTCTGACCCTGTAAGCCACACTGGGAGGACCATGTGTGACTATAAATGGGTTACTCTCTTTTTCTTATTTTCTAGATCTCAGTTCACACCGATCAAAGCATGCCTGGGCCTTTAAATGCAGATAAGAGCCAGACATAAGGACCACGACCTGCCATATGCAGGGTGACAATAAATATTGTAGCAGTTTTTCCAAGCCCTCTGAGGTTGTCCCATGCTTGTGATAGCAATGAGCTTCTCTCATCACGCACAGTTTAGGAAACACGCAGGGGCAACATTACCCAGAGCTTTTTTTTCTTCTGGTGTTCCAGCACATTCCCGTTACGGTACCACTGGAAGCTCGGGGCTGGGACCCCCATGGCAGCACACTGCAGCTGTAGTGGTTTCCCTACTTCCACCTTCTGCTCAGTGGGGTTGAGGATGATGACTGGTTCTCCTCGCCAAAGCTGAGGGAGCAGACCTGTGAAGCAACAAACAGAGTTGGTCCTCTCTTTCCCAGGATATTAATTAAAATAAAGGCATTTTTCCTCAATAAAGGAGTCTGTGCAAACAGCCAGAAAAATATACGTAAAGACACACAAAGATACCACCCCATTGTAAGGCTGCTGTTCCAGAGTTGCCTCTGTGTCTTCTACTCTTGGAGCAGGGAGTCCTCAAGAGCAACATCTACAATAGTGAGATCACTCACCAGACAAGCCAAAGCAATTCCTTTTGCTTTCTAGTCACAAGTGTGCCTTGGTGCCTGAAGAGACTCAACACATCACGCCAAGGGTACAGTCAACACGATGAGGTTAGACACACCCAGAGTTATTTTGCCCAGTTTTGAAACAACCACACTGCTTTTTCAAGTCTATCTGCCAAGCACAAACTGGCAAACACCCAGCACAGCATCTCTTTGGGAAATCTCTGGTGAGTTATCAGCAGGAGGAACAGGTAAAAACCAGCCAGGGTTATTTGAATCATGACAGGTTTTGACATATTCAGAGCTGCTTGGTCATTTCACTGGATCAGTTCTTTCGGATAATGATTTTAGAGCCAGGAAGACACACTGATGCTAAGGGTCACTGTTGCAAGGGGCCTCAACATTTAATCCATGAGGAATATTCGTGCAAAGCATAAAACAGAGATGCTAGAAGACATGCTCATACCTCTGCCAACACACTGATGGACCTCAACTTTCACCCAGTTAGAGAAGACAGCATTTTTATAGATGTCATTCACCCTACAGGTATAGAGTTGGGTTTGCTGTGCAGTGATGAGCAAGTCCTGTTCAGTGGCACCAGGAATCTGGCAGCAGACAGACTGAAAAGAAGACAGAGGCAGTAAGCACCACATCCCATTGTCATCACGGATAGCAGAAGGCACTAAAAGGATCTTCTTAAGGGCAGGAAGCATGGAAAGTCCCTTGTTTTGTCCCCTCCTGCAGCCAGAAGGATACAGGGAGAAGGAGCTTAGCACCCCATGTAGCATCCACTGAAGTCCCGGGAAGGAGAAGTATGCAAACGTAACCCATTTCCATCTGCTCTTTGTTCTTTTCTCTCCTGCCTTCCTGATTCCCACCAAATTTGTCCACAGTCATCACTGTCATTACTCCACAGTGCACTCCACCAGCCTGGGAGAGCAAGACCCAAGGTCAATCTCCATGTAAAAGCATTACCTGGCGCTGGCAAAACCACTGGTACTGGAGAGACGTGCAGGCCTCAGCTCTGCATCGCAGAGCAAGGGAGTATCCAACAGGGACGGAGACAGAGACCGGCTGCTCAGTGATCACAATGGCTGCAGAGAAAGAGATGCTGGTTTCAAACACAACCTAGCAGATGGAAACAGCAGTGCAGGATCCCTGCCCGCACACGTCCCTCTTCCTTTTCAGAGGAGACACAATCCAGCACAATGCAGCTATGGTTAAAGCAAGGTTGCTCGCTTGCTTGGTGCTTTCTTATAAAGCAGCTGGGCACGCTGGGCAGGACCTATTGGGCACTTTCTTCTGGAAGGGAGAAAACTCCCCTCAGGTCCCTTACGACTGAGCTCCCTGCACAGATGGGCATGTCTCACAAAGGAAGGGTATTTGGGAAAACAAGGAAGCCCCACACCCAAATGCCCAGGGATTTTGAGGAGCCTTCTCGGCAGCTTAAACACACATGACACAGCATATGTTTCGTGCCCCCCCAGGTGACACCCGACACGGGCCTTGCTTGGGCACTGACCACCTCCAGGTACCAGCATTTGCTTCACCGGCATCTCCCAAAGCCTCGCAGCTCCCAGGCACAATCCGCGCCTCCCGGAGCCAGCTGGGCGCCCGCAGGTGGCCCGGGAGCTGCTCACCCTCCTGCATCGCTTTGAGCGCCGCGCGTTGTCCGCCCAGGCCTGCGTGCACGTGGCCGGCCTCAGCAGCTGCCGCGCTCGGCTCTTCTCCTGCTTGAGAAGCAGCATCTGCCTGCGGGAAGGAAGGAAGGAAGGAAGGAAAAAAAGCAGGGAGCGTCAGGAAGCTGCTGGGCATCCACGGAGCCCAGGGCCACCCGACCTCCCTCTCCCCATCCTCAACGCCACAGCGGGCTGCCCGGAGGGGAAAACCAGAGCGGGGAGAAGGAAGCAGCTCCGCTCGCGCCGCCCTCGCGGCCTCCCGGGCTTGGGCGAGCGGCCGCGGCCCCTCGGGCGGTGCTGCGGCCCGCCCGCCCGTCCTCGCGGCGGGCCCCGCGGCCCGGGCCTCTCACCTGGCGGCTGCGGGCCGACGAGCCCGCCCGGGCCGGAGCCTCCTCCCGGCGCGGGGGTCTCCGACCCGGCGCGGCCTGGCCGGGGCGGACAGGCCCGCGGAGGAGGAGGAGCGGCGGCTCGGCGGCCGCCACGGGCACCC